CCTCGGTGCTGGCCAGGGGCAGCGCGACGGGTCTCTGCGGGCTTGGGGCGAGGGATGTCCGGCCGCGCTTCCCAGCCCCTCCCGCCGGAGCCGTGACCTTTTGCCGTAGCGCGGCCTCAGCCGCAGGAAGCCGCGGGCCTGTGGCTGGGGACCGGGGCGGGCAGCTGGGCCCGTCCCCCCCGCTGCAGGGCCGCCGTCGGGTCTTAGGTTGCCGTTATCCCTATCTGGGAGAGGAACCGGTGGGACTGAGCAGAAAGTTTGGGGTCTGTAGAGGAAATTTTTAAAAAGTCGCTTATTTTTTCGAAGTAATACTGCCCTCAGTGTAACAGTTACTGTCAAGGCTTTGATTGCAGCTTTGGGATTCTGCCTCATATTGCCCCGTCATGGCTTGAGCCCATTAAATAAATATTGATGTACATAGTGTACTCCTATGAGCAAAAATGGGCCCGTGGATGATTGCAGAATTGATTTTTTTTCTGCCTCTCTTAAGTCTTCAAACTTTAATAGTGCTCTTAAAGAATACTTGCTGTAGATGCAGTCACATTGCTCTGGGCTGAGCATCACATAGATTCGTGCAAGGCTTAATAATTTTACCACACTGCCTCACTTTTGTATGAGTTTATTTAAAAGTTCTGATCTTCTCCTCTGTAATACTTAAAAACTAGACAGAATAGTATTGTGCTATGGTGTATGGGAAACTGAAAGTGAAACTGCATTATAGTTACTGAAATGAGTAGTCAAAAGACCCCTCCCCTTAAAAAATTACAGTAGACTTGGTAGAAACATTCACATAAGCTTCTTACAGTGACTCTGCCGAATACCTTTTCATAGTACATACATATGGGGAAGATGTGTGGCTTAATGCATATTGTGATTGACTGCTTATGGAAGGTGCGGTCTTATTTGAGGAGAGTAGGATTTTCTTTTTGACTTTACATTTCTTCTCTTCCTCCTCTCTCTTATTTTCCCTTTGGAAATAGGTGGTTCTGTTCTTTGTTAACGTGACAGTATTCTAGGGCCCTTGCATAGCTCTTCTTTATGCAGGCTTTTTTGTATTTTCTTGCAATTGCTTTTTGTTCAAATGAAATCATTTGGGGAGCAACTGATTTTCAGATGAAAATTTTGAACTTCAGTTTCTTGTGTCTTCATTCCATTTGCCTGAGTGCTAGTATCTACCAAGTGTTGTTTTTACAGTAAGTATAACTGTCCTTGTTAGTTCTTCAGTCACCAGTTTGTTCTTGCAAGTGTTCTTGTGTTTCTGTTTATTGGACATGAGTGAGAAATGTTTCCTGAGAACAGTGGGAGAGCCTGCCTGCCCTTGGAAAAGGGGAGGAGACAGATTGTAGGAAGGGCATTGAAGGACAGCTAATGCAAGGGGGTTTACCTGTTTCCTTGCTGTGAAGTATGTGGATGTAAAAGTGAGTTTTGTACCTTTTAGTCAGGTAAAAAGGTCAGCTGAAGGCATGTCTCTTCATCAGAGTTTTCTGTTTGTGTAGTGGGATACATTTGGGCTAAAACCTATGTATGTAACCATATTAACCCACATGAGGGTAAAATTTAACCTATCTCCTGTGGTGTTGGTGGACACTCAGCTTCACAATGTCACTGGTTTTTCACAGTTGAAATATAGCTTATTCTTTTCTTCTTTCTTTGTTAGGGGTGTTGAGAACAACATACATTCAAAACATTAACACAGAAACACAGAATGGGTTGGGTTGGAAGGGACTTTCAAAGGTCACCTAGTCCCAACCCCCCTGCCATGGGCAGGGACACCTTCTACCAGACCAGGTTGCTCAAAGCCCCGTCCAACCTGGCCTTGAACACTGCCAGGGAGGGGGCAGCCACAGCTTCTCTGAGTAACTTGTGTTAGTGTCTGACAACCCTCACAGGGAAGAATTTCTTCCTTATGTCTAACCTAAATCCACTCTCTTTCAGTTTAAAACCATTACCACTTGTCCTTTCATTACACTCCCTGATAAATAGTCCCTCCCATTCTTTCCTGTAGGCCCCCTTTAGGTACTGGAAGGCGCTATAAGGTCTCCCCAGATCCTTCTCTTCTCCAGGCTGAACAATCCCAACTCTCTCAGCCTGCCCTCACAGGGGAGGTGCTCCAGCCCCCTGATCATCTTCATGGCCTCCTCTGGACCTGCTCAAGCATGTCCAAGTCCTTCTTATGTTGGGTGCCCCAGAGCTGGACACAGCGCTGCAGGTGGGGTCTCACCAGAGCAGAGCAGAGGGGAAGAATCCCCTCCCTCACCTGCTGGCCACACTGCTCTTGACTCAGCCCAGGGTACAGTTGGCTTTCTGGGCTGTGAGTGCACGTTGCCGGCTCATAGTCAGTTTTCCATCCACTAATACCCCCAGATCCTTCTCCTCAGGGCTGCTTTCAATCCACTTATCGCCCAGCCTGTATTTGTGCCAGGATACAACTGGGTTTCTGGACTGCAAGCGCACATTGCCAGCTCACATCCTTTTTTTCCACAGGGCTGCTCTCATTCCATTCATCCCCAAGTCTGTATTGATATTGAGGTTTGTCCAACCCAGGTGCAGGACCCTGCACTTGGCTTTGTTAAACTTCCTGAGGTAGGCATGGGCCTGCTCCTGAAGCTTGTCAGGGTCCCTCTGGATGCCATCCCTTCCCTCTGGATGCCATCCCTTCCCTCTGGATGCCATCCCTTCCCTCTGGATGCCATCCCTTCCCTGCAGTGTGTCAGTGTGACCCTTCCCTCTAGTGTATTAAAACCAGTACTGTATAATAAATAGCTAGGTGTTTATGTAAGGACTTGTGAGAGGGTGGGCAACCTGTGGCATTTGGGTTGGCTATGTACTGTCCGTCATCCCAGTAAGTCTGATTAGTACTGTACATATCTTTTAAATGAGAGCACAGGACAACAGTTGGTTGGACTTCAGCTGGATTAATTGTTCTGGCATCCTACAGTCCGCTTCCTGCCAATCTTTTATATGGAAACCCCATATCCCTTATGTGTGGTGCCCTCAATCAGGTGTGCATTTGATCAGAGATCAAATTCCTCACAAAGAGAGAAATATCTACACGTTGGTCACAGAACATAGGCACATTCAATAATGCTGGAAGAAATGATCTATCACTGCTTTTTAGTCATGTATCTGTGAAGTGTGTACACATGTGGAGCTATGTCAGTAGTGAGAGAAATGTTTATTTTTACTGTTGAGTAGAGCTCTCTTGAAATACCTGTATGAAGGACTTTTGCAGAATTCTGAATGGCATCAGTTAATATTTAGATCATCTTAGAAAAAGGGCATTGGCACCTCTGTTTCCTTTTACTGTGGATCGTATTCTTGCATGCCTGCTCTAGCACTAAGCTTTCTTTGAAATCAAAGCTGGACACATGTAGAAATAATTCGAGAATTCTTGTCTCTGTTCTGTTGCAAATTCTCTGCACCTTGTTTCTCCATGTTTGTCATCCTATTGCAGTGGAGCAGAATAATTTTGTTGTCAGTTACTAGTCTTTGCTGTAGAAAGACTACCAACAGATAGTGTTTATTTTGCCTATTCATATTCCATAGGGTGCTTCTCTCCTAAGCACAAAGATAAGATTAAAGCAAAGTGCAGATTTGTGACGCAGTATTAAGCAACAAAAATACAATTTCTGATAAAATAATATGCTTTGGCAGAAGGCTGCCCTGTACCTCAGAAGATACTAAAAAAAAAAAAATTTAAATTGACTTTTTCTGGTCTCCCTATAACTCATTTGTTATTAGTGCAGTTGTTAAAACTCCATTTGATATCCAATATGATTGAGAGGTTTTGTCTTACATTTTTGAACTGAGCAAAATGCCTCTGGTTTGTCACCTAATGTTTAAAAAATGCTTAACAATTAAGACAGGGTTGTGTACAGTGTATGGTATCCATAATGTTTATCATTACTGACTTTGCAAAGTTGAAAGGGTTTTGCTAGGATAAAGGCTAGTCAGTTTTGGGTTGGAAGTTGACAATTATATTAGCTGACAAAACAAACTATATATCCCCTTTCAATGATAGACAGGAATGACTTTTTTTTCATTTTGTTTCAGCCTTTTGAAGTAGAGCAATTTTGTAGAAGATTTTTTTCATTGAGTCATCCAAGAATTCAACAGGCTCTTTCTTAAATATCACAGAAGGGTTGAGGTTGGAAGGCACCTCTGAAGGGCATCTGGTCCAACCCCTCCTGCTCAAGCAGGGCCACCTGCAGCAGATTGCCCAGGAGCCTGTCAAGGCGGCTTCTGAATATCTCCAGGGATGGAGACTCCACAGTCTTTCTGGGCAACCTGTGCCCATGCTCAGTCACCCTCACAGGAAAAGTGTTTCCTGACATTGAGGGAACCTCTCGTGTGTGTTTGTGCCCATTGCCTCTGATCCTGTCACTGGGCAGCACTGAGCAGAGCCTGGCTCTGTCCTCTTTGCACCCTCCCTGCAGGTATTTATAGACATTGATAAGATCCCCCTGAGCCTTCTCTTCTCCAGGCTGAGCAGTCCCAGCTCTCCCAGGCTTCCCTCATATGTGAGGTGCTCCAGTCCCTTCACCATCTTCGTGGCCCTTCATGGAGCTCTCTCCAGTATGTCCCTGTCTCTCTTGCACTGGGGAGCCCAGAACTGGACATGGTGCTCCAGGTGTGGTCTCACCAGGAGGAAAGTAGAGGGGAAGGATCGCCTCCCTCCATCTGCTGGCGCTGCTTTGCCTAATGCAGCCCAGGGTACCATTCATCCTCTTTGCAGCAAGGGCACATCGCTGGCTCAAGTTCAGCCTGGTGTCCACCAGGACCCCCAGGTTCTTTACTGCCAATCTAGTTTCCAGTCAGTTGTTCCCCAGCACATACTGGTACATGAGGTTATTCCTTACCAGGTGCAGGACTTTACACTTTCCCTTGCTGAACTTCATGAGTTTCCTGTCAGTGCATTTCTTCAGACTGTCGAGGCACCTCTGGATGGCATCCAAGTAGAGGGTTTTCTGTTGTTTTTTTCTATTGTTGACATATCTGAAATAATTTTTTCCAGTGGCTTTTCTTGGCCTGCTTCTGAATTGCAGTAGAACTTTACATTATGTTTGAAGGAGGTGGGTTTATTTAGATCTGTTAGTACTATTTAACTGGTCCTTTATGGGAAAAAATTCCAAAGGAGAATATAGCTCTGAAGAAATACAGCTTCAGTCATTCTGAAAATGACTGAATGTGTATTTACAAGCAAGGTAAAAACTTTGGTAGGTTTGACATAACCACGTTTGTGTTCAGTGAGGAGCAGAAGTAGTGCAGCGTGTTTGTCTATTTACTCTTACCTGTGGCCAGACCCTCCACAGAGTGAGAACTGTGTAGTCTGGAGTGGTGACAGCAGTGGGAACCATGAGCTCTGTGCCAGGGTGGGTGGGGAGAGGTTTGAAGAGAAACAAGTAAAGTACAGATGGAGCCATTTTAAGAGTGGAAAAGAAGGAAGAGCTGTTGGAGCAGTCATAAATCTGTAGTAGCACAGTGTGGCAATTTTGTTGTAGAAAGAATAAGGATCTGAAAATTGCTAGGTAGAAGTGTGATCTAGGAAAATAACTATATGGTTGAGTCCAGATACTGTACAAAAGTAAAATAATTTTGAAATTGAATGATTGATTTTAATGCTTTAAGGTAGCATCATAACTATGGATGGATTTCTGGAACTAGGTTCAAGCGGGCAATTTTTACGTTATTCATAAGCTGTGTCCTGTGCTTGTAGTGTAGGCAAACTCTTATTTATTTTTATTTCACTTCTCACTCTAGACTTCTAATTACCTTTATTAACCAGAAAAATGCTCTGCATCTGTCTTTCCTATAACATAATCATAAAGAACATTTGTCTGTTGTTAGCCTTTAACAAGTATCTGGAAATTATGGCAGGTTGGGAAAATACAGTACTTGACAATACTGAAACAACATAGAATGGCATTAAGGGTGGCTGTGAGTCACTGCTAAATAAAAAACTGTAAATATTCTAACTTCTGATGTTCAAACTATAGATGCTATAGATGTTTTACAGTGTGAGAATAGGAATATAGTGCAGGATCTTATATAGCTACTGCCTCACCAAATTGTTTGAGAACTGGTTTAGTAATCACTGTGTAACACTAATTAACTTTACTTTCCTCTTCCTGTATTTAAAGTTCTGTGTGACCCTCTATCTGTGAAGCAGGACATTTTTTACCCTTGGTATTAGTAGATTCACTGAGTTGATTCCTTTTTCTCTATGTTAGAAAGGCACTATACTATCTATCTTATTTGGAGACTGGAAATATGTATCTTATGCAAGATTCCTTGGCCTACCTCAAAGACCAAGTTCTGGTCTGTGTATGGAGTCCTGTTGTATGTATCCTACTTTTCTTAACTGCTAATGCTAGAGAAAGAATTATAGTTTGAAGATGAAACTTAGATTAAAATATTTGCTTTTTTGCTCGAGCTTTTTTTACCTTCTTTTTTGTTTTTGTGTTACGTACATTTGAACAAACAGTACATTCTATTTGATTTCTGTTTCAGACACAATACTTTATATGTAATGCATACATTTTTGGGTCGTGTAATTTTATTTTGTAATTCTGTTTGTAAGGTAGGTTGGGTTTTTTTTCAATATAGCTAAATATAGAACCCATAGAGTATATGGAATACTTAATTCTGAAAAAAAAAAAAAAGCCCCAACAAAAAGCAAATGAAAACCTACAGACATTGTAACGATTGCTTGTGACTATTGTTAGACGTCTCAAGATTCCACTGTTTTGTATTAAATGCATCTTTGGCTGTGTTTCAGGTATTAAGGACACAATTGTTTATGGAAAAATTAATGTATAAGTCCAAAATAAGAAGGGCAATCTAATCTTTGAGGAAATGGCAGGATTCCTAGACAACTTCCGGTGGCCAGAATGTGAGTGTATTGACTGGAGCGAAAGAAGAAATGCCATTGCTTCAATAGTTGCAGGCATATTGGTAAGTTTTGAGAGGACGTGAATCATAGCTGTGTTGACAAGTTTGACATACCTGACAGGAAGTACGACAGTTACATTTTTGTTTCAAATTCAGTGAAGTTTCACTCTTAACTGCACCTCAATCCAGTATATTTCTTTTAAACTTTTTAAAGTGTAATTGATACACAGCTTTTTTTGCAAGTCACATAACTTTGCATGTTGTTTGATAATGATGTATCAGTTCTGCTATCTCTTAGTTAAAAAGATTGAAATTCCTAGTAGATTTTTTGCATAATTGGATATGTTAGAACACCTATGTTATAGTTTGTGTATCATATGCATTTAGAGTCTGAATTCTTGTTCTAAAAACTGTACAGGGAATTTAGCTGTACACTAATGCCTAATTTGAATAGAAAATGTGACCGATTCTCAAATGCTCCTCTGCAAACGTCAACTTTAAGGCTTATGCAGAACCTGCATATCAAACAGTTTTACAGTCTGACTAAAGCTAATAAGTTTCTAGAAAAGCTTGTACTTGTTAAAAGACAATTAAACCAATAATATGCATGAACATTTTCTGTGTTTTGTCTGCCTGTCTCTGTACCCTGACAGCTTCCTAATACTGGTCTATTTTATTTCTAGTTTTTCACAGGTTGGTGGATAATGATAGATGCTGCAGTAGTTTACCCTAAACCAGAACAAATGAACCATGCGTTCCATACCTGTGGGGTGTTTTCAACACTAGCTTTTTTCATGTAAGTGTATATGAAGGGAGTTCTTATAAAATAAACATGAGCTGTTGAATACAGTTTTTACTAGACAATACAGTATATGATAAAACTTTGAATCACTTGCTTATAAATTTCTTACGAGTAATCTTGTTATGCCTTTTTGCATGCCAGTGTAAAGGCCTTTTTTCTCTTACCTGTGGCCTTTGTTTCTGATTGTGGTCTGTTTATTCTGTGTTCTGTTGCCCCCTATTTGTTTTGAATGTCAGAAAGCAGACCTTCCATTATGGAAGTGGCTTTCTGTGATAAGTGCTTATATTTCTAGATCAATTTTCATGTAATGCTGCCCAGTGGCTTACCTCAATCTAAAACATTTGATTGCATTTCCCCTTTTAAAAATAATTTTTACAGCTGTCTCTGGCCCAAAACTTCCTTAAATGGGAGAGGTAGTAGTATTATAGCTATTGTTATAAGAATATAAATATGGCAAGCTTGAAGGAGAAGTAATAGCTGAATCATACAATATTGGCAAGAGAAAAATACATTTGGATATGCAAGACCTTCTTAACGCTTGGTATCTGAAAGTTTCTGGGTTTTTTCCTCAGCAGCGTAACTAATTGTAAGAAAATGTCCCTTCTTACAGGGTGTCTCTCAGTTGAATACTTATAGTATTCATTGTGAAGGAAAGTAACTGGTATCATAATCATGTGAGCACTGTGTTACTGGCTGTTACTTTTCCTGTGACGTGGTTTTAGATATTTTAAAAACTAAACAGCCAAAGAGTAACCAGGAATATTTCAGTCACTAAAAAGGGCAATTTTTTCATTTTACAGGTCTGTTAATGTAAAAATATAAGTAAAACTTGGGAACAAACAAGGAGTTTGTTTGAAATTCAGTTGGAATCCTTCCATTAAGGGACATGTAGTAATGTGACTCTACAGAATGCCAAGTAATTTTCCCAAAATTTGTCTCATCTTAAAAAAATGTTACCTTTTAACTTAAAACTTTAAATTGATTTTCTAATAATCTGAAGTCTATATGCTTTTTTTGTTCCTAGGATAAATGCTGTATCAAATGCGCAGGTGAGAGGAGACAGCTACAGTGATGGATGTTTAGGAAGAACAGGTAAATTAAAAATTGTCTTGAGCTGAAAGACTTCTTATTGTTGGGTTTTTTTCTAAGTGGTGGTTAAAGAAATAATAATGAGAAGTTAAGGAGTAGGAGAGAACTTCTGTGAAGTTAATTTTTTTCAAAATTAACACTTGGAGATATAAGTACTTTCTTTGTTAAAAAGGTGAAGATAGAAACTTTCAATTTCTGTATGTCCTGAATACCTAAACTTTCCTCTGCAAATCCTATAGCTGCTGGGTGAAATAAATTTCTGCCTTGTGGTAGGGGACGGAGCAGACATTCCTTAAGAATGTCTTATTTAGAATGTATCACAAACACTGTTTCCTCTGTATATCACCGTGTGGTGTCTGTGGACCTGCAGTCCTCTCTCTGCTTTCACTCACAATTCCCTTACTGTTTTCCCATGTGGATCCCAGCATCTGTTTTCATGTGATCTGTAGAATGCCTCACCGGAAATCTGGTAGGATTTACTGATTTTTGAACTAACATATGATGCTTCATAAATTGCCTTGAGATAATCTTCGCGTAGAAATAGTTTTCCTTTCCCATGAGTGAGCAGGTTGATTATTTTCAATGGCATCATTTTCAGCAGGTGATGTCTAGCTATGGTAGATGTTGTCCATCTGAAAACATCTTTCTGAAGTAAACAGGGGAAGCATTTGTTTTACGTGCCCTATTGGAATGCCATCTTTACCTCAGAAACACTATAGCTTTAGAAAAGTACCTCATCATTAGTCCACTCCCAAGTTGTGTTAAATGGTATTATAGGCATTCCCTACAGGTGAAGGGAAATTTCTGGTAGCTGTGTCTGCTTGCTAAGATAAGGCGAAACCAGCTACTCTGTGTTTTACTAGAGAAAGCAAATTTTGGTTTATATTGCCCTTGATACAGGGTTTAACCTTTTCCCTTTGTGCCTTCAGCAAGGTAACATACTGTATCATAACTGACTAGTAGCTTGGATCATGTTACGATGGACAGTAGTCCACATGGTTCTCAGAGGTTTTAATATCTCCTGCAGGTGCTCGTGTCTGGCTCTTCATTGGCTTTATGTTGATGTTTGGTTCACTTATTGCTTCAATGTGGATTCTTTTTGGAGCATATGTTACACAGAGTAAGTTTATTTATTTTCACGTATGGAAAAGTACTTTTGCTGTCAGCCAAAAGGCAGAAAATCCAGAAGAATGGAAATGTGTGGTTTGTTCTTATCAGAGCCATACCATCTAGTTTTGCAGTCAGAGAAGAGATGAATAGTGTGTTAAATACACCTTCCGATACAAAAGGACTTAATATTTCCTTTGTTACTTACTTTGCAGACACTAATGTTTACCCTGGATTAGCAGTGTTTTTCCAAAATGCATTGATATTTTTCAGGTAAGTTATCTGGGCAAATTTCCCTCCTTCTAAAGGGGTATCTAATTTACCGTCCTCCGTGCACATTGATACTCTTGGAAAATAAGTTCTGAAAGCTGGAGGCTGGCTCCAGTCTTGGACTTTCCACAACGTGGTGTTTGCTGCTCTCAGTGCAGGACCCTCTGTATCTCAATTTATTACTCACCCGGAGCTTTACTTGAGGCCCAAAGGGACCTCTTGGGTCACTGAGTAACTGACATTGTACAGGGAGCTGATGTGATATTAGTCAATGCATAAACTGATCGAACTCTTTCTTAAAACTACTTTTTTCTACTCTGCTGTTCCTTTTCTACTTGCTTTGCTCCAGTGCTTAGAAACAATGTTTTATTTGCCCCTTCTCAGCCCCTGAGAGGCTCTTCACTCCCCTCGTGCTCCTGTTAGTCCAGCTCTTTCTGGTCTCACTGAACTTACAGCTCTAGAATGTGGATGACCACGGATATGGACATTATTCTGTGAGACATTGTCACTGTCTGGATAATGGCAATAGTGTGTCATCTCTGTACTACAAATACCTTGGCATATATCCTAACAGCACTTGGTGGGAGATCCTGTTGCCCTTTTCCTGACTATTTCATACCAATGGCTCAATTATCTGCTAACTGATACACCTAGATTTGTTTCTACTGGATGAGCTTTCAGTCATTAAGAGTGATAATTTTTTTCTTCTGAGAGCATGATGTCACATTTTGTAATAATTACACTTAATTTATTTTATTCTGCTTAATATCATTACATATCTTTTTTTATATTGTATAATACATTCTGCAATCCATGGATTTTATTAATAGAAGACAATGAAAGCATTAAATAGTGTAAGTTCCAAGATCAGTCACTGAAGAAGTTCACATAACCTCCTCTTTTGCAAGTTCTTACCTACTTAAATTACTCTGCTAACAATTTTTCTTCTAGTACCATAGCAAATGCTTTGCAGTGAGCTAGATCAACTGGTTCCACTGTGCTTCCCTGTTTAGAAAATGAGTTATGTTCTTGCAGAAAATAGCAGTTCCTAAATCTCTTCTGTAGTTTTTGCATGTGATTGAAATGGGATACTGATGAAGGCAGACTTCCGAGAATAGTTTCACCATGCCTGAAATCTTATTTCAGTAGTTCAATGAACTTATTTCTGAAACTGCTTGTTTCTACAAGTGTCTTTCTTCAGTTTCTGTTGTACTCTGCAGATATATTTTAGGTTTATTTGTCTTCTAAAGTTTGTTTTCTAGGTATGAACTATGAGAGAAATTACAACTTTTTATTAAAAAAAAAAAGGTTTTGTTTTTTATCCCTCCACAGACTTCAGACAATAACACTTGATAAGTCCATCCACTGCTGTAGACTTTTTTCTTTAGACCAGACCTGGATCATTGATGCCCTTCTCAGTGTTCTTATCCAAAACTTTGGTTTTGATTGAGTCAGATTCTCTTCCATCAGTGCTGTTTTGTAATGTCTGTATTTCCATAATGGCTGTATTCCCTGAACTAGTCCTTCAGGATTTGCACTTCAGCCCTGATTTTTACTCCACCATTTTTTTCACTTAGTTTAACATGCTGTATTAGTTCTCTAGTTAATTGCCCAGGTGTCTAGCTTGGTTTTTACTTATCGTTGCTTGTTATTTTTGTTCTCAGTGTCAATATTTCTCATTTCTCTCCCTCTTCATTCTCTTATGATTTAGTATGACTCTGCCCGTCTTTACCGCCTGTTTGTTGGCTATAAGGAAAAAGAACTTAAAGTATAAGGAACAATAAGGAAATCATGCTTCGTTGTATTCTCTCAACAATTTTTTTTTTGATTCAGGACAATATGTAATTGCATCTGACCTTATAAAAGGCATTTTGGAAATCAAATTGTAATTCAGATCTTGCTTATCCACAACAGGATCAATATTCTGATTTGTTCATAAAAATTTAATTGCTAAGATTCTATCCTAGCATAATACATTATGTTCAGCTGATTGCCAGATGCCAGAATGAGACTTGCTGCTCTGTAACTCTGTGGATTGGTCCTAGGATCTCTTAAATACCAGAATTTTTTTTCCTTCAGAAGGGCAGCTGCTTTTACTGTGAGACTTTCTATTTTTTTTGTCTGAGCAGTTGCTTCTGCTGGATCTCACAGTTTTAGCAATTTATAATAAATCAAATCTAAGCACAAAAACCAGAAACTGACTTGAACAAAAGTTAAGGTGACTGGAGGGAAGGAGTTTATTAAAATTACCTTTTCCACCTTATATGTGGTCTGAATTTTTTTTTTCTCTCCCCCTGTAGTACCCTGATCTACAAGTTTGGAAGAACAGAAGAGTTATGGGGATGAGATATCATGTATAGCATTGTCTATTCCATAGTCGCTATATAGTACGATGTATGTAGATATATTTACATTTATTTGTTCTTGTTTTGCTTTCTAAACTGTATGAACTGAGACAAATTACAGTTTCTGTAATAAGCTCCCTCTTTTCACCGGACAAATTTGTGAATATGTACATATAACTGTATATATCTTAAAAAGGGAATGTCAGGCTTTCTTTATGAAACCTTCAGGCTTTTTTCTTCAAATACATGGGTTTCCATCAACTCCTCAGACTTGATCTTCCAAGCCTTCACATGTATCGGAGACTTCAGTGGAACTCTTAGTTGAAAAGCAGGATAAAGCCTGTACCCTGTAAAAGGGGTTATTACTTTTCTGCATAGGTGAGATAGAGCTGATCTTGCAAGGGCTGCCTGTGTAACCTGAAGGAGTCGTTGGTGCATGGAAGTGACTCGGCTAAGGCTGTATTTAATGATGGTAAATTCTATTGTATGCTAGGAGCTGATTTTAAGAATTTTATATAACTGTTCAGAAAAATATAAAGTAGCTTTTTTTTGGTAAAAGGTTATGAATTTTTAAACAAGGCCCCATGTTAAGCAGTTTCTGCATGGCAAATCAAACTTTTTGACTTCTGATTGCTATAGCACAATGACATTTGGTAGCACCACAGTCCTTAGAATTAATCTCGTGCTGTTCAGTGTAATAGATAACAATTAGTATTTAATGTATTTACTGATATTAGAATAAAAAAACCCAACCAAACTAAACTGATGCCAGTCATATTTAAAGAGTATAAAGAATAAATAAGAGACTAACATTTAAAAAATTATGTTGGCATAATTTTCTTCAGGGAAAGCTTTTTGCTGATAAATGAACAGTTATCCTGCTGTGTATTACCTTTTCTGTTTAAAAGGTGAGCATTTCACTTGGGGATATAGTAGATGTATTTATTGCTCACAATCTTACCTTGAAATAATTGCCAGGTTTAGGACTGCCATTTGCCCCAGTTAAAATGTATTTATCTCCTAAATTCTATGGGCACTTTATGGGAATGTTTCCATTATTGAAATCCAGTTTCTTCTAGCTGGAGTATAGGGAGAACAATGATTTTTTTGTAGCTTTGGACTGATCTTGTATATCCATCTTGCTATTGGTGACTTTCTTCTCTTACAAGTTCTATGTGGTTTTTAAAGCATTTGAAACTACTTTTTGTCTAAAGGCTTTTGTAACTTCCCATCTATCAAGATTGCTGACCAAATGGTATTAAAACTGCAGAATGGAACTTCTGTGCATGATTACTGTATACTGTTAGTCATCTAATTGCTCCCTTGTGGGAATTTCTCCAGTGGACAGAATATGAAGCAAATACTGCAGCTGAAATTGTGCTACTGGCTAGACTAACTTCATCCTGGTTTCACCATCCTGCAGTGAGTTATGATATATTCACTGGTGTTAATCAGAGATTTGTACATAAATTGTCTGGTTGTAATTTCAGAAAACTGCAATAAACCTTCTCTTACATTCTCAAAATAGCGAACTTGGCAAGGGAATTGTATGGTAGCACTCAATAGCTCAAGCAGTACTGACCTTTAAGCCAGTCTTACACTAGCTAGTAAGTAAAGCCAAGGCTTTTGTTTTCATGTCTGTCAGTTTCTTGCTGAGAAGCCTGAGAGTGTTTGTTGGCATTTTTACTACATGAGAAACAAGTGTAGCCTATACCTAATCTTTTTTACAGTATCTTGCACCATCACTTGAACAGGACAGGCTAAGTGTTTGATTCTGGAAGAACTCTGACAGTGTGCTTTAATGCAAGTTCCCAGTTAAAAAAGTTTTCTCAAGAGCAGGGCAAGAGCTGCTTTCTGAGGTTATCTGCATTTCCTATAAGAAGTTTGCTTTTGTGCAAGTATTTCTTGACTGACCCTTCTGGTTTTATAGAATTGGAATGATCATGCTTTCTCTACAGCTGCTAGGAGAAGAGAGACAGCTTTGAGCACGTGTCTTTTCTGGTAGCCTACACTGAAAACAGGTGTAGTATAAGAAAGAACCATGTAGGCTTTATTTGGAATATGCTGAGGTCTACTTTTATACCCCAGGTGCTTCCAGCACAACAGGCCAAGGTGGAGGGGGATGGCTCAGTTTAGATAACATCTTGGCCTGTTACAGTTGACAGTTGTGAAGATAACAAGTTACTCCTAACAAAAGGGTTTTAACTGTGGCTATTTGTGTAACTGAAAACTATTAACCATTATAACAGTATGCTGTATTGCTAAATATTCACAGATGTTTCAACTGCCACCTTATTTATGCTGTCTATTATGCATTTAGGTTGTTCCTTTTGAAAGCCTGGGGTTCTTCGCTTATTTACGAATGAATACAAGAACAGGTATTACCCAGTCTGGGGCTGTCTTGAAAATTCTTCCAGAGTTGAAATCTTCAGATAACTACATTGTCTTGGCATGCTGCCTAATCGCAAGTGCTTAGATTAGTTCTACAAGGTAACAACTTCATGAAGCTTTTGGAAAAAATGTTACATGAAAAATCAGTTAGTCTTTGGTAGTTCTGGAAGGAAGGGGGGGAACAGCATTACCTCAGATAGCCAGCCCACAGCTCTAACAGGGACCAGGTTCATTAACAGAACAAGCCATTTACAAATAAACAAGCATTTAAAAAAAAAAAAAACACACCACACAGGAAAAAAGTCAAACAAATAAAACCAGTCTTTTTAGTACAGTAGTGGTTTTTTGTGCTTTATTAAATGCTTTCCAGACCCCACTAGATTGTGATGTGAGGCTTAATTTGTAGTCTTCTGCTTTAAGGGACTCAAACCACAACCAGCAATTTGCAGGACTAATCTGATTGTCAACAAGAGATTTTAGTGTCTGACAGTTACTGATACATGTTACATAAATTCTGACCAAAATTATTTTAAAGTTTGTTTTGCTGTGAAGAACAATTGTCTCACTGCAGGAACAGAAGATTAATGCTTCTCATTAATATGTTCAGAGGCAGCTATGAGGAGGCCTTTCCTGGAGCAGTTGTTTGCAGAGCTTCATACCGACTGCTGTTTTTACCTGGAGGGAAGAAGCTGCCACAGAAAACTGCATGTATTTAAAAGGATTCAGAAAAGCAGGCTGGGGGGGATATAATACATGTTGAATGCTAACACTGACTTCACAAATAAGGCAACCTAACAGAAGTTACTATAAACTGTACATAATTCATGGTACAATTATTCACTCACTGAAAACTACACCCTACCTACCATAAAGTGCCATTATTTCTGAAAGCTTTATTTCAATGTGGACTGGGAAATAGGATGATGCTTTATAGCCATCTGTCTTTAGGCAATTTAGTGTTCATTTCCCTTTCTCATTCCACCTTCTAAGTCTTTATGGCAGAACACAGTTGCTGTTGTAGCACAGCAGAAGCCATATAAACAATGGCTAAGGGTCCAGGCTATTCTCAGGAAGCAGCATCTCACTCAGGATTTGTCACTGGCTGCATTTTGTCCAGACCTCGTTCTCTGTCCTGCCAGTAGCCACATGGCACCGCTCCTGGGCAGAAGCCTCTCCAATATCTTGATGCAGGCACTCACGCTAGGGCACCACTTAAGTTACTTCACTGTCACCAGAGACACTATGTGTATGAGCTTGACCATCCAAACTGCTGCCACAGGCTTGGCTTCCATCTCCACTAAACACAAGAGATACGGAATCGTGGGGATCATCCTCGGCATAATTGTCCAACACCTCTAAAACAGGCATGCTAGGGTCCTTCAAATACTGGAAAAAAAGCCAGACATGAGAGTTTAGATACCTATCCACAGAACAGATGTAGTAGAAAGGACAGACACAGAGCAGGTACCACCACCTAGAGGCAAGTTGTTTCAGACACAAATTCACAGCAAGATGTATTCTAGATTTCCTTGAAACTGCAGTGAACAAGGAAAAAGTTAAAAATACCTTATTTCTGTGGAGGGAAAAAAAAATATCAATCATGCAAATGTCCATTTAAGTAAGTTAGAACAACCTCCATTTCCTTTTTTTTTTTTTTAAATAAATTTTGGCTAATATTCTCCTGCCAGTTCAAACAAATTTTTACTAGTTAAGAACAAGCGACAGAAGAAAACACTTCATTATGCTGCTGGGGACATACCCTCCAATGGCAGGAATCTAGCAAATGACAGCTTGTCTAAAAGACTGATGGAGCAAACGAGATCTAGGATTCTGGTTTGTTCAGTGTCAGGCAAGTCATATCTGCATCTTTTACTGCTACCAGGAAACTCCAGTGGCATTAATTACTTTTTGCTTTGACCTCCCTGCTCTGCTCCCCTTTCCTCCAAAATTAAGTCATCAGCTTTACAATGACTGCATAATCAAAGAAGTAAGCACTAGAAAAAAAAAAACACAGGCCAGAGAAAATCCTTTCTGTTCCTCCTACCACCCCCACATACTCTCCTTATCACTAAGCTGATCTTGTGTTTCACAGGGAATTGGAATCATCTACCACTTCTTGTATTGAAAAAAAAAAGTGCAAATCTGCCATTGAACATTTTTTCCCTGATTTAAAAAAAATTAAAATAGATGTCTGGAGCACAGACACCTTCACATTGTTACAAGACTGACATAGCTTATGGTTTTACTCAAAAGTTTGTTCTCTACTGTAGGAGGTATCATAATCTGGCTGAGAGGAATCACAGCTCAAGTCATGTCTGTTGTGGAACAAAACTAACCTTTCAATTAAGGCACCACTTTCTCTGTAATCATAGCAAGCCTAATAAGCAACAGGATTATTTTTTCAGGTGTATTAAAAATGTTTCATATGGGAACTTCAAACACATCCACTTCAGCAAATTCAAGACATGAATGTCAGTTTGGTTTTGCTATGTGAAGGTAGAACTGCTCCCTGTAACCCTGACACTGAAATATGAGATCCTGCTGTAAAAGAAGGAAGCATATGATTTTTCTGAAAATCTAGAAGAGTACATATGAAACTGCCTTAAAATAATCAGTATTCCATACTCATGAAAAAGTGTTTTAAGAGGAGAAACCTCAGGCTGGTTGATACCTTTTAGAAATACACAGTTTTTTAAAATTCTGTGTGTTTACTGATTTTCTTTCTTATCTTTCTTTATTCTTTGTTTTGCCTGAACCCAGACTCACCATTGTTCAAGCGTATCTACTTTTCCTGCAGGTTTTACAGATTAATGTAATTACTCCAGAATTAATGTGATTTCCAGATAAATGCAATTACTCCAGAAACAGATGATGTTTAGAGAAGATAAATAAATAGAAATTCTATTCTTGAAAGTCCTTTGCATGAAATGCTGCAGTACTGTAGTACACTGTACAAGGACTTCTTTTCCTACACGAAATATACTTCACTTGATATGTGATACAGCTGCCTCCACTGAGTCCCCATGAAATGGTAGCTGAGGCAGCATGAAGAGAGAAAATAATATACTCAGGACTCTGCAGAAAGTCTGGGGTCATTCACCCAGACTTCTATAAAAATCTGGAAAAACTACCATTGCACAGTGGAATACTCTGACACGCATATATATATATATATAAGGAAATACACCTCCAAGAACTGCAAACAAATACAAACTTCTAAAAATATGAATGTATGCTGAACAAGAACTTTTAAATCAAGAACTCTGCTTAAAGACTACTTCCCATTTAAACACTAAAAGAGGAAGACAAACAGGACAAACAGTATCATTTAGTACAGAAATGTGAGAGCTACAAGGAGGAAAAATTCCCAGGATGACTTTTTCATTTAAGTATTGCTAAACCTACAGGAAAAAAAGAAAAAAACCCCAAGAACATTCCCCTAGGTGATCGTTAGGTCTTCAAGTCAGTCCTTGTTCTTAAAATGATCAGTCTCTCCTTTTCTGTATTTGATTTCTAACTGGAGACCTTGGTCCCAAGTACATGTTCTGCAGCACACAAAAGCTTTTTGCTTCAAGTGAGCAACTGTTTCAGGCCTGGTGACTTCAATAAGCAAAGACAGGGATGGACAAGGGGTAGTCAAGGAACAGAGACTCTTACTCTGGTTTCATAACAGGATTAGAGCAACATTTGTATCTTAGTGCAGAGGAAAAAATAATTCAGGTGAGTAATACAGTGGGAGATCACATATGAGAAAAGTAACACTTTACGCTGAGTGAACAATCTATTGTTCTATTTCTGTTATGCAACAACTAGCTTCCTACTCACTCAAAGATCATCACTGTCTTTTACAGGGGAGGGGAAGAGCAGGGAGAAAAACAGAATGTCTACACATACCTCTTCAAAGTGCGATGGGATTTCTAATGGTGGCTGAGACCAATATTTAATTGTTTTGTGGTGCCTCCACAGAAGAAACAAACCAGCTGTTACCAGAGTTACAAAAAATGACACCAACACAAATATTAGTATAATATATGCAGCTCTGGTTGTCTCTGAAAAAGAAAAAACAAACCACCATATACATACAGTAGGTTCATATTTATGCACCATCAAATCTAAGACAATATACATCAAGCTGAAATGTACTATGCTTGGTTAGCAAAGTATAATTTCCAAGGCTAAGATCTCAACTCTACTATAGATACATTCTAAACACCTGTGTTCAGAAGTAGCTTGTTTTGTGATTCCACATGGAAGTCACCAGCTCCCAGGAGCTCCTGTCCCTTAATCGTGCAGCCTAAGGCAAGCAGGGCAAACGCCGAGCTGAAGGGATGGGATGGATCCCGGCTGTGGGGCAGAGGGCGGGCAGGGAACGCAATCTGTCCTTCCACCCTCGGGTTGTCTGCAAGGGCCATTAACTGCAGGGCCTTCTCTTTCAAGACATTCCCCTCCCTTCAGCAAAGGGAGGGTCCCAGACTCCAACATCACAGCTTGGGGGCTGGCGAGCAGGTACTTGGCCAATGCTACCCGGGAGGTCAGCTCCTGCACAGCTTCAGAAACTGTAAGCAGGTTTCATCTATGTGTCTTCCAGCATGTTCAAAGCATGCTAAAGATCAGTTGTGCCTTTGGTTGTGTTGATGGTCACATGGAGAGATTCAAGAGAGAGAGACAAACTCTTATCTTGCACATGCCCTCTCCTCCCTTCACCCTCCCTCTTATCTCGTACAAAAACATGGAGCTCAAAATGTCAGAGAAGGAAGTAGGTCAAAGAGGAGAGGGACGTTCCTGCCCTACAGGAGGCAGTGGCTGAGGAAGAGGATTTGCAAAAGTAACACCATCTCCTTCATCAATCACTTCCACTAAAGACCTGGTACTTGTATTTTCTTTCTTTGCATATTTCTAGAAAGAAATACCTGCTGCAGTATTTATGAGGGGAAAAAAAACAAGCGGAAGAGTACAACATAGACCCTCAATTACTAACTGAAAAATGTCATTATTTTGCCATTAATGACAATTGTGAGCTACTATTGGTGGCTCTCTTAGCACCTCTGACAAGTACAGGTATGTAAGTGATCAGGTTCCACAATCAACAACTCCTGTTCTACACTCATAGTATTATATACCAAAAAAAAAACCCAAACCAAAATCAGATTAATACCACTTAGTGTAGTTCTGTGACACTTTGGGACACTTTGCAGTCCAAGTAGCTGGAGATCTGAATGTGTCATCAATTCTACTTGAATTCTAAAACAGTAGAGTGTCAATTCCTTTAGATTTCCAATTTCAAATAGTGTACTGCTCATCTTTATTTCCTGTTTAAAAAGACACACAAAAAAGCACTGTTACTGTGAAAACCAGACCTGTCTTCAACACAAATCCCTTCCCCATATTTAAATTTCTCATTCAAAAGGCAGAGATTTTATTTTGCATATGTGTGCTTTACCAAACAAGAGACACAGTGAAATATATTTCAACTTTCCTACTTGAATGCATTTGAAATTCCATTATTTTTAAATGAAATTAAGCCTGACCATTTAAAACCATCTATAAGGGCATGAACAGCAGAGGCATGAAAACTGATGAAAGGTGTCATTTTATCCACAACACGCTGCTGGATGCTTTGACTCTGCTTCTGTAACAGCTCAGGCAGTGAGCACAATATAGGAAGGGGGAGGGAAAAACAAGCCATGAGAAGTGCCTCCTCCATCAGAGGAGGCTGACGGAAGTGTAGTTCAGTGAAGAGCTTCCACCATCTCGACTCCTTCCACTGAAGAGCAAAACAGCTGATGGGCAGTGCAAAATCTCCAGTCTCCACACAGCCACCAAAGTATTTTGGGAGTTTTTAGCTTGTAAGGGGACTTGGTGAAGACTACAGAAGCATAAAAGAGTGACTTCTGCTCTGAATCTCAAACATGAGGGTATTTTATGTGTGTCAGAAAAATACATGTTGGTGCAAGAGAGGAAGGAAGTGGAGGCGTTTCAGATTAAGCAACGTCTTTGAAACAAAAGTTTTTTTAACGTAATTTTTTTTCTGCTTCTGTTTTTTAAACATTTGACTTTAGAATGACCTTCTTTTTAATCTTCTTCCTCTTTTTTTAAAATGTGACTTAATTCCTCCTCTGCAATGCTGACCTATCAAGAACACAATTACCAGGGACCCCAGACAGCAGCATAAGCACATGATGAGACCAACACCTCTCAGATTCAGCATGAGCAGAGACAGCTCATCCCAGCCGTGTCCAGCATGTTTCTAATAACTCTGCCTTTCTCTGCCCTAGGAACAGGTGACATCAGGCCAAAGCAGCCTATTACTGAAGCTGCCAGCACAAACAACACCAGGACAGGAAAGGAGGAAGGATATTCCAGTCTTCCAAATTGTCTAAGCAAACTTTGGAATCAAAATGCCATTTTAAAGTCACCCTTGACACTTTGTGGATTCTCTCCCTTCATCTGCAATGTGATTTAACCTTCATTTCATATGGAGGAAAAAAAATGATGTTTTTGAAAGTTTCATAATACATGCAACACTTGTGCCAAAACCAAATTAACTTTAGAGAAAAAAATACATTAGTTTTCTTCCTCCATTTCTGCTGTTTTGCCAAGAGATACTGACTCATATCTCAGTCACAAGGGCATTATGAACAAAATAAATTAGAGAGAATTCTTACTTTTTTAGTAGTACTTGTTGCATTCTCCCAGTAGGACACATGATACTGAAGAAAGTCACCTGCTTCGGATCCAAAAGGAGGTGTGACACTAATGAGAAGTGAGTCAGAGCTTTCAATCACGCTGTTCACTTTAGGGGGCCCTATAGTAGCTGAAAACAAACACAGAAAGAGCAGTGAACAGCTCATCATACTGTCTTCAGCTTTACTTAGATACTCTCAGCAAACATGTTAAATATTGACAGCTTTTTCTCAAGCAAACAAATACATTTTCTCATCTACCTAATGCATTTATCTGCTTTATTACAAATCTAAGGAACAAGACTTGAAAGCATAAGTGAAATGACATAATTAAAAAGTTTCCTGTTAATTTTTTCTGGAAATTCAGTAAATATTCACTAGAATGTATCTGAATTTATCTGTAATTAATGGTGATACAATTTTGTTGGGTTTTTTTTGTTTTTTTTTCCCTTCAAATAGCCTGCCACATATTCTATGTTCTCTTAAAAGCACACTGGATCAATAGACTGGAAGAGGAATAACTAGTTTCCCCCTCCTTGCTTTGATGTCTCCATCTGTCCTATAAGGTAAAGATGACGCCTTCCTTTTGCAGAGAACTCTGAGGTCAAAATCATGACAAATAAAGTACTCTCAGTCCTCATACAAGATACTTATCACAGTTCACATATGGTCATTAGTCACTTACCCTTTGTATCTTGACTTCTTTCACCAACTAACCATATCAGCATTTGTAAAGCACTCCAGGATCTCAAAACCCCCACTCATGCAAATATTAGAGTAGTTAACAGCTGCTTGCATACTAAAAAGGGATAACTATTAACAGTAAAAATCAACCCTTGCATGCAACATTGTTTATTGTACCTTAAAATTTTTTTTTTAAGCAGAATCTGTTCTGTCCACTGTTACTTTAGAGAAAATTGGCCATGATCTTCGTATTGGTAGAGAAATTTCAGTTTCTTCCTACTCCCTGTTGCTGTACAATGCAAATGCCTGGCTGCATGTCCTCCCAGATTCCTGAAGCTCACCCTCTCAAGTGGGACGGACCCAAAAGTTAGAGAACAGCCTGACTGAGTAGCCCATGGTCTTGGTGTTTAGAAACTGATCTCAAGGGTGGTCACACAAGAATGATGACATAACGTTCCTCTTGCTCTCCCAAGGAACAGACACACAAGTGTCTTTCCCACACTAAGCCTTCTCCTTTGTCTTGTATTCCCATTAGCCCAGTGCTTTCCTAACTGCAAAGGATCCCACTTCCAAACAATCCTGCATCACAAGATACAGATGCATCAGCTGTAATCCTCAACTCAAGATTTGGGTAGTTCCTCATTCCCACATGCTTTATTACTAGACATAATCCAAGATTTAGAACTGAAGTCACCAGAGAAAGTATCATACTCTTTGCAGCATGGGTTGCCACTGCTTCTCACAAGATATGGAAGAACTTGAAATAAAGAGTGAATAAATTAATTCCTCTGCTTAATTATAATTTCAGATGTATTTTTAAACTCAGTATTTACTTTCTTCTAATCCTGAAACCAATCACAGCAAGGCAAAAGAGCAGATCTTATAAGGAACAACAATATGTTTGTTCACACACTTAATGGGATTTAAAGTGTGCCTTGACCCTTCTACACTGTAGTCAGGACAGTTTATACTTATTAGAAAAGAGATCTGTCCAAGAGAAGTAGGTATTTTGTACTCAGACTATGACAAATCAAAGGGGTGTATGTGTGCATGCAGCAGCACTAAGTAGAGAAAGAAGAAAATGGAAAACTCTCTAACATAATATACGTCATAGTTCTCGTAAAGCGTAACCACCCAAGGAAACTCCTCTGTTTCTCTTTCAATACCTGTTGAAAGATTGCATTGCTAACCCCACTACAGAGGGACTAAGTAGTATCAAATTCCTAGTGACACACCAAGGCCTTGTAGTCTTTGTTATCCGAACACATACAATTCTCTCACTTGGCTTTTGTGCATAATGGAGTCAAAAAAGCCTAGAACAGACAAGAAACATTTTTTTCAAAGAAATCTCCTTTGTGAGAGACACTGAAATCATAAATAGCACTTACTGTTTCTCTCTGCCACAAATGGATCTGTTTCTACCCAGTCAGAAGTCACTTGCCCTAGCTCAGCTCTCACACGGAAAAAAAAAGTCCAGCGCCGCTCCTTAAGCAACAAGGGGAAGCTGCATTCAGTCTGGGCGATACGGGTGCAGTTCATCTCATCCCACTGGTTAAAGGCCCCTCTGCAATTCAAAACAAAGGACAAATAAAGCATCAGCAGAACAGCACAACTATCTCAAGCATGATCCCTCCCACCGAGACAATTTTTGTAACAAGACCATAAGTTACAAAACTACCACTTCCATGCAGGTTTGGCTCCATGGCCCTTTCGGCATCTGCACCCCCTCAGTATCTGGGGAAGAATTTAAATTGGCAAGGGAGAATTAAGGAAGGTTAAAATTATACAGGAAACTATGATACATTTCTGGGTGCTCTTCAGGTCTTCAATCTTTGCTTAGATCAGTGGAAATGTTGCAGGCTAAGAGACAGTCAGTCTTCAGAAGCTATATAAAGCATCTGTAATAGACAACTCGTTTACTTATTAATTTTTAGCTTTTTAAAAAAACCCATTTGTGTTACTGGATCAGAACAGAATCAGTTTGGTTGTTTTTAGATCTATTTACTTACGTTTTAAAATGGACTGTATATAACACCAAGCCTTTATCCACTTTAACAGAGGACCACCTCAGTGAACTACGGAAGTTATAGGAATAAACCATCACATCCTTTGGTGGTGGTAAATGTGGAGAAGACTCTAAAGTAAGAAGAGGAATAAAACAACTATTAAAGCATTCAACTATACAGTAACTAATTTCTGATCTCCAAATTCCATCACCATATATTACATCTTTGCAGGCAAAACCATTCCTCCTTCTCATTCTATTTCTAGGTTCACATTAAGTTCCTGCTATCCACAAAGCACTGAAATGCAATTTACTGCTTTTATTTATTCCATACAAAAACATAACACTTAAAGTACCGAGTCCAGAGCAAAACAATGAACCGCAGGCAGCTCCCCCATGAAGCTATAAATTAAGGTCCACTGCCACTTGCTCATCTATTTCAACTGTCTGCATTTCACATTTTATTTACTGTGTTAACAACTCAGAACACGCTTTTCCTGACCATCTGCCTTCTGCTAAATTGTCTGAAGAGGTCACTTCGCTGAAACTTTCCAGGAAACAGGTCAAAAAACCAAAGCCTTCTCATACTTAAACATTCACAAACACATAGAGCATTGTTCCACTGGCAAGCCTGAAGTTTTGTCAGTTTTAAAACTGATTTCACAATGTAGAAAAGGACAGAAACCTCCATTAGAGGCGTGCCTTCAGCTAGTAGGAACGTCCACCCAAATTTGGTCAGGCTATAAACTCCTGAGGGTGAAGGAAGACGGCAAGCGCTCTGAGCAGCTTGTCCGGAGGCGAGCAGCACAGAAGCCAAGAGCAGAGTCATATCTCTATTATGGGAGAAGAACTACTTCCCTGTGGGTCCAGGCGGATGGAGGAAGCTGTTCACTGGGACTGGAGCACAGCCAAACGCCAGACACTGAGCTGGGGGCTGGCAGGCCAAGTGGAGGAAGAGAGGAAGGGAGAGAGGGAGGGCGGCCAAGCAAAAGACAAAGAACCAAGGGCTTGGGAAATAGGGGTGGATGAATTAAAAAATGAGGGTAGCAGCTGGAGGGAAATGTTAACTGGCAAACAGAGCAATACACCAGACTGGAGAACCAAAAGCACTGAAAGACAAGGAGACCAATGGCAAGGAATTGGGATGGCCAAAAGAAACTACTACCGCAAGTAGGCTGAGCCAAGGAAGACAGGAAAATGCAGTTACTAAATGCCTTTGAAACCGGAAAAGCCTCACACTTAACTACAGCACTCCATGAAGGGCCCTCAGAAGGCCTCTAGTCCAAGCCCCTGGCTCGAGCAGGCCCAGCTCTAGCCTAAGACCTGGCTGCTCAGGGCTTTCTCCAGGCAAGCCCCAGAACCTCCAAGGACAGAACCTGCACAGCCTTGTTGGGCAACAGCTTCACTACCTGCCTGTCCTAAGAGGGAGAAAGGTTTTTCTTCTACATTTGACTTGAAACTGTCCATATAGCAATCCCCTTACACTGGGTCAACAGGTCCTAACCTCAAAGACAACCATGACATGACATGACTATAAGATTTCCATTTTTTTGTTCCCAAGACAATAGTCTCCTAACATACAGTTTGCTTATTTTTACATAAAGATGAGAAGATAAGCACTTAAGCTAAATTCTGGCCCCAGTCTTCTTTGGGAATATGGGGATAATGTCAAAAAGTTTTTCCTTTTTGATTTTGATCTGATTTTGTTACACAGCACTAGACAGCACACTGATGCTGACAGCACTATCTTTCAGAAGAAATGTCGTGGCAGGCTCTTAATATCCTCCGTGTACAGGAAAGAGATGACATGAATCTTCATAAAACTGCATTAAACCCTAAGTCCAACATAATTAGTTGATTTTCTAAAGTTTTAATTAGGTATATTACTAGTTTCTTAGCCTCCACTTTTGAGTAGTGCTCTTAAGTAAACACACATTGTCTTGGGCTACAGATGCATCATTCAGCATTGCAAAACTTAGAGATTCCTTAGGATACCTAAACTATTAATCTCTTGCATATTTTAAAGGCCACTAAGTAACCTCTTCTTATTCAAGAGAAATTTTCACTTTCTAGTCACGCAGATTCTTTCTTGCACTCTCACTGCTGGTCTGGCATGTGGCAAGGTATCTCACACCATCAGTAATCTGTGCACTCAGACATCCGACCGATACAAACTAATTTCACAAAATTCAAGAAAGCTGTCAGAACAAAACATAAGCACTAGCATTTTTTTTCCTTCTCTCCCTCCTAAAAAAAATAGAAAACAGAAAAGGAAAAAGCAATAAAAGACAAGGGCAGCTGGTTCATATTCTCAATAAAGACTGCACACTGAATATTTTGCTATATATTAGCATTCAGAAACAGATGATTTCACCTACCAGCTTCAAAGACACAGCAAAAAAATACCAGATCTGTGACTCTGTAGTTGAACATCAAGTTGCTGTATGCCACAAGGCACTTGCTACTGCACTGAGGAGCTGTTTCCACTGCACACTGAGGGAATGCATTCGTATTTCAGTTAGATATCTCAACATGACAAGGGAAGTTAAATTTCTGAAATAAAACACTGAACTCCATAATGATCATTAATTTCTATGACCCAAAGTAACAAAATGCGCACTTCAGAAAAAAGCAGTTACATATGCACAAATCCAAGAAAAACCCAAACTACTTTAGCCAGGAAAAGGCAGAAGTGCCCAGTCCTTTCCCTCCATTTGGAAGGTGGTCTCGCAGAACTGGTTCTTTTAAAGCATCTGCCAAACAATGCTCAGATTGTTTTTTCCTGATGCAGAGACTTCCTGACTCTTCAAGCCGCAACTCAAAGCTTTCACAGAGCGGAGTGTGAAGCCACAAGTTACGCTGAGTGAAAGCAGCTCTACTTGGCCTAGCCATCGGTTTCACAGACCCTGCTTCTGAATGAATTCTGATCCTTTGCCTTGCATCAGCAAAAAAGAAATCTGTGGTCGTTTTTTTGGATGGACTTTTGCTGTTCTAGTGTACCGAACTGGCTTCTCATATTGTCAGACAAGCACCAAGGCCTGCAAAAGGTGAACAGCAGAAGCGTGCAGCCAGGTAGGGGCAGGTGACCACAGCTGGCTGCTCTTTTGGCTGAAAGGTGTAGCATCCCCATTTGCAATGAAACGCGGTGCCTACCGGAGAGCACAGAGGGGGAAGCCAGGCCCTACGCGCAAGTCAGACACCAGAACAGCTCCCTGGGACAATCCTGCCGCTGCCGATGGGGTGGGACTGGGCCACGCTGACTGCGGCAAGACCCCCCAGCTCACCTCAACCCACCCGTGGGCATTTGGACTCCTGAGTCCAGCCACAGACTGCAGGCCTGGAACGGCAGCTGCCCCCAGAGAGCAGGAGCCACAGCCTGGCCAGCCGGGGCCTGAGGAACCGCGAAGGCGACAGCGGACACGATGAACTCACGGAGGTCCCCGCGTGCCTGAGCGCGGACCACGCTGTACGCACACCTCCTGCAAGACACGCCACAGCAACTCTTCCCCACCTGCTGCCACACGCACGGAAGCCAGGACTTCACTCGAGAGCTCAGACCCGACCTGAAGAGCAAACCCGGTAACGCTGACGGGGAGC